CCCCCCCCCCCCCCACCATCTTAGAGCTGAAGTACAGCCAATCCCTCTCTTGATGCTGCATCTCTCTGATTGACTCTACTTCCTTTTCTACTTTTGGGGCTTGTATGATTACATTGACCCAGCAGCATAATCCAGAATTTTCTCTTTAGAGTCTGCTGATTTCCTTCTGCAAAGTCCCTTCCCAGGCACTACCTAGATCAATGTTTGCTTGAATAACAAAGAGACAGGAATCTTGGAAGGACATCTTTAAATTCTGCCTATAGATGTTATCTTCTTTTCTTGGTTGGTAAAAAGCTGAGATAGGGTTCACTGCTCAAAGAGCCTTTGAATTGCATTCAAAATTAAATTAGAAAAATGTCAAAGTCCTTTGGAAGCATGAATGCCTCTAAAAGTTTGAATGGTGATCACTGGCGGAGGGGGCATTTTCCTAGCAATTTCTTCAGTGACCCTCCATTCCCTGTTTCCTGTGTCCTGAAAAATAGCCTTCCTCTTTGATGTGCACAGCTCAACTTTCTGGAAAATTCTGTAATCCTTCTGGTTGGTTCCTGCAGCTTCCTCCTGAAATCTGATAGCTTTTTTATTTCCCCCACCCATGCCTATCCATTCTTTTCCTAAAGTGACTCAGTCACCCTGTCTGTATTCTCCCTAAAAACTTGTTCTGTTGATGTCCCATGGAAATTACTAACCATTTTAAAGGGCGACTAGGTTGTGCTGAAATCATGGCTTGATTTGGAGGCATGTTAATTCTTGCTGTCTGATTTAGTCTTCTTCCACCAGAGGCACTAGCTCATTATAATAAGAATTTCTAATAGACTCGAAATGGCTGGTTGAGTTAGTTGCAGACAGCAATCACTACTTTTGGTGGGATTTTTATAGAAGGAAGGTGTAAGTCAGTAGAAAGTTGTAAACAGTCAGTTAAAAGTTGTAAATAGGGTCATCTGTGAAGATAAAGATTAGAAACGATCCTTCCTTTGGAGAATTGAAATGTGAAAGAAAATTGTGATTTTTTTGGGGGGGGGTACCTTAATTCCTTTTTCACACCTGAAAGTGTAGTAAAGAATCTTTTCCTTCCTGGAGGGGTGGTGGGAGGGGGGATGGGCTAAATGGGTAAGGGGCATTAAGGAATCTACTCCTGAAATCATTGTTGCTCTATATGCTAACTAACCTGGGTGTAAATTAAAAACTTAATTAATTAATTAATTTTAGAAAAAGAATCTTTTCCTTCCATTGTTAATAATTGAAAGAAACAGTGGGAGCTCCTGTGGCTTGGTTTGGTGAAGCGTTTCTAATTTTGTATTTCCCTTTGCAGTTGCATAGCTCACCTCCTACCTTTGGAATAGACAGTAGCCTAAGGTCTGATAGAGAGTTCAAAACCATGTTTACAGAATACTGTACCAGTGGGGACGTCATTGGAGAGCTGAGCTGTCTGCTTAAGCGTGAAATTGAATATACTGCCATTTGTGAAACTATTTTACAGGTAAGAAACTGGTTCTGTCTGTATTGTGGGCTATTAGTTAATTCTTCCTGAAGTAAATAAGGAATACCAGAATCTTTTCTTCCTTTGGGCTCCGTTATCTTATGCAGCCACCTACCCAGCTATTGTGAAGCAGTGTAGACTAGCTGAGAAAAGATTTAGTGTCTCACATCCTGGCTGTGGGACCTGGAGTGAGATATTTTAATCTCTTTGTGTCTTAGTATCCTTGTTTATTAAAAGAGAGAATGTCTAGCTTTGACATTACGAAGATTAGGAAAATGTCTAAGTGCATGGCATGTATAGACACTCAATAAATGGCCACCATTATGAAAGTAGTATTTTTAAAGAATACTTGTTTTTTTTAAAAATTTTTTAATGTTTATTTATTTTTCAGAGAGAGACAGAGCACAAGCGGGGGAGGGGCAGAGAGAGAGGGAGACACAGAATCCAAAGCAGGCTCCAGGTTCTGAGCTGTCAGCACAGAGCCCGATGTGGGGCTTGAACTCACAAATCGTGAGATCATGACCTGAGCCAAAGTTGGCTGCTTAACTAACTGAGCCACCCAGGTGCCCCTAATTGTTTTTTTTTTATTGTTATTTATGTACTATTATTATTTTTTTTTATGTTGAAAAAATTTAGATTTAGATTTAGCCAGCCAGACTCAGTTTAGATGATCCCAATTTTGTTGGCAACATCCAAAGCATCATACTCAGGAGCCAGTTGAACATATGCTTTCTTTTCTCCATCGGGCCTGATCAGAGTGTTGACCTTGGCCACATCAATGTCATAGAGCTTCTTCATGGCCTGTTTGATCTGGTACTTGTTGGCCTTGACATCCACAATGAACACAAGAGTGTTGTTGTCTTCTATTTTCTTTATGGCTGACTTGGTAGTCAGGGGGAACTTGATGATGGCATAGTGGTCAAGCTTGTTTCTTCTGGGGGCACTCTTTCAAGGATATTTGGGCTGCCTTCAGAGATGCAGTGTCTTGGGCCGTCGGAATGTAGGTGACGTGCAGATTTTTTTTTATGACTGTGGACGCCTTTCAGCACTGCTTTCTTGGCCTTCAGAGCCTTTGCTTTAGCTTCAGCTTTGGGAGGGGCAGGGTCCAGAGTCTTAGGGGTGTGTGGGACAGAAGGGAATGTTGCTTTATCAGTTTCATACCATTTAGTTTCTGGAAGAGGACAGGAGGCATGAATTTAGTCACAAGGTTGAAGTGAAGTCACTGAAGTCCATGTAGCTTGAATTCTTAAAGAGCAGTCTTCCGTATTCAGGTAAGCAGTTGGCCTCTGGAAACAAATCCTGTGAATCAGTCTATAGCCAACATGCAGGGGTACAAGAGCACCCAGAGTGGGGCCCCAAGTCAGGTTCCACCACCCACTGCTGACAAAATCCAAAGGCAGAGAGACATGAGGGATGGTGAAACAAGAAAAAAATTTATTTCAGTGAGGCCAACACCAGGAAGATAGTGGATTAGCAGCTCAAAGATGATCTCCAATGTGCTGAAATACTTCTGGGTTTATATAAGGAAAATGTGGGGCAAAGGTGGATGGGTGTGAGCAGGTGGACAGTGAAGGTCAAATCCATCACTGTCTTAGAGTTAATCACAGGTGGGGTCTTGCTGGCTCAGAGCAGTTCCTATTGTTTGAGGGGGTAGTTTCATTCCCAACTAAGGATGCTTTGTCCCCAAGGCCTTCAGCCTGAGCCAAGAGACAAGCTGGAAAGAAAAACCCAACTAGAAGTCTGAGGTCAAAATTGAGGCAGCAGGAGTCCTCTTTTGAGCCCACTTCACCTACTGTGGCAGTAAAATAGATAAGTTTATGTGGCTTACTTCCTGAATCTTGGGCTCATGAGCTGTATCCTTTACCATAGCTATTGACTGGTATATATTTTCCTGGCTTATCACTAAGTGTATGCTTTAATTGAACTGTAAATTTTATCATCTTACATATAGCAAACAATTTCTCCACAGTACAATGCTTTTAAATGGCAGAGTATCACAATTTTACTAGAGTTGATGGTTTTTGTAAGGGGTCACGTGAAGATTAAATCTATAGGCACCTTGTCTTCTGATGGCCTTATAATTTAGTTGTGAATCAAGCTTGCTGCTCGATATCTTGTGGTTTCAGGCCTGCTTTATCTCCCTGGAGGATTTGTATGAAGGCTTTGATGTCTTCTGGCCATCCTTGGAATATAAAATATGGCTAAAGCTTGCACTCAGTATTGCCTATCAGTATTTTGAATCAAGTCTCATTGATGAGGTAAGTTATAGGATTAAAATATGAATGGACTTTTATTTACTTTTTACGAAATGCATATCAAATTTTTGAGACAGAGACAGAAAGGAAGGTTGTATCTGATATTCTAAAATGAGATTCTCGAATTTTAACCACACTTGTTCTGACTTCCTGCAGATCTTCAGTTCTCTTGTCACAGCTGATTTTCCAGGCTACCTGCAGTCATGCCTTAAAAAAACAGATTCAGCAAATATGAAATAGGCAGATTCCCAAGAACTAGGAACTTATATTTTGTGTGTGCTTTCGAGCTTTGGCATTTTTAAAAAAGCCCCCGGGTGTTTCGAATGTGCATCCAGGGATGAGAACACTGCTCTAAACTCTGTCCATAGGGAATACAAGAGGAATAGCAGTTTTCTGGAGGAAATAATGGTTCCTTTTCACTAATATACAAAAACATAATGACTTCTGCTTTCAAGCTCGAAATCCCCGGCATTATGAGCCAATCTACTCAGACCCAGGTAGATGCTAATTGAGTTTCCTCTTTGGACTGGGTGCTTGTTCTATGCAGCTTTTTGAATGATCTGAGTGAGGACTGTTTGGCGTAGTGTTTCTTTCTTTTAAAAAAATTTTTTTTTAGTGTTTATTTATTTTGAGAGATAGAGCACAAACAGGGGCAGAGAGAGAGGGAGACACAGTGTGACAGCAAATACTTGGTGCCCAGGAAGAGACAAGCCACACACACTTGGGGAATCAGGAAAAGACTATTTACTGCGCACTGGTCCCGGCCCAGCAGAGTCACCTCCAAAGGCTGAGCCCTGAACCTTGGCATCAGCCTGTTATTATGGCTGGGATGGTAGCAGGTTGAGAGACAAAAGACAAAGGGGAGGGGGCACTTATCAGTGGTGCTATCTGCGCAGTTCATGGACACAGGAGGCAAACAAGATTGCAGAAGCCAAAAGTATGCAGGGGAGTATCCAGCTTCAGACATCTGGCTGGCCCCTTTTATCTTGTTTTTATTAGCTTTTCTTCTCAACAGAATCCGAAGCAGGTTCCAGGCTCCGAGCTGTCAGCACAGAGCTCAATGTGCTGGCTCGAACCCACGAACTGTGAGATCATGACCCAAGCCGAAGCTGGATGCTTAACCGACTGAGCTACCAAGGCATCCCTGGGGTGGTGTTTCTTATAGTCTCCTCTACCTATGTTAATATGAATCTACTGTCTTTTTAAAATCTTTATTGGGGTGACCAAGCCTCTTTTAGGAACTTTTTCTCCAACAAGTAATAGTATTGGCATAATTTACAATCCATATTTATATCCTATTTAATAATTATTTGAGCCCCTATTATAAGTTAGGAACTGGGAAAGTGACAGACCAGAGTTCAACAATGTTTGTTGCATCTCAGTAAAATGAGACTGGATATGAATGTTGGGTTAAAAGATTCGCACGTCTGAAAAGAATGAGAAGACAAGTCACAGAGTGGGAGAAAATATATATTTGCAAAAGACACATCTGATACAGGACTGTTACCTAAAATATACAAATAACTTTTAAAACTCAACAATAGGAAAACAAACAACCCAATTAAAAAATGGGCCAAAGATCTTAACAGACCCCTCACCAAAGAAGATATACAGATGGTAAATAAACACGTTCTATCTACGTCATATATCCTCAGAAAAATGCAACATTGTGATTCCATTATGCACCTATTAGAATGGCCGACATTTGGAACATTGAGAGCCCCAAATGCTGGTGGGGATATAGGGCAACAGGAACTCTCATTCATTGCTGGTAGGAATGCAAAATGGTACAGCTACTTTGGAAGACAGTCTGGAGGTTTCTTATAAAACTGAACATACTCTTACCATATGATCCAGTAATCAGTATCCTTGATATTTACCCAAAGAAGTTGAAAACTTATGTTCACACAGAAATCTGAACACATATATTTATAGCAATTTTATTCGTAATTGCCAAAACTTGGAAACAACCAACAAAAATGTCCTTTAGTAGATGAATGGATAAATTCATTCCTCTGTGGCACATCCAGACAATGGAATATTATTCAGTGCTAAAAAGAAATGAACTTGGGGCGCCTGGGTGGCTCAGTTGGTTGAGTGTCCAACTTCAGCTCAGGTCATAATCTCACGGTTCGTGGGTTCAAGCCCCGTGTCAGGCTGTGTGCTGACAGCTCAGAGCCTGGAGCCTGCTTCGGATTCTGTGACTCCCTCTATCTCTGCGCCTCCCCTGCTTGTACTCTGTCTCTCTCTCTCTGTCTGTCTCTCTCAAGATATAAAATAAACATTAAAAGATTTTTAAAACATTTTTAAAAGGAAATGAACTGTCAAGCTGTGAAAAGCCATGGAAAAAAAACCTAGATGCATATTACCAAGTGAAAGAGGCCACCAGAAAAGGTTACACACTATGATTCCAATTGTAGGACATTCTGGAAAAGGCAAAACTATGGACACAATAAAAAGATCAGTGGTTGCTAGGAGTTGGGGCAGGAGGAATAAATAGAGGATGTTAGGACAGTGAAACCACTCTGCATGATACTATCACAATGGATACATGTCATTACACATTTATGCATAAAATTTGCAACACCAAGAGTGAACCCTAAAGTAAAACTCTGGACTTGGCTGATTATGATGTGTCAGTGTAGGTTCATCAGTTGTAATAAATGTACCACTCTGGTGCCGGATATTGATAGTGGGGGAAATTATACACATGTGGAGGCTGGAGTATATGGGAAATCTTTATACCTGTCTCTCAGTTTTGCTGTGAACCTAAAAACACTCTAAAAAATTCTTTAAAAATTAGCATGTCATGCTAAGGAAGTCATGTTTCTTTACTATGTGGCAATAATTTTCAGAAAAATTTTAGTGGAAGGGCAAAAAGATTTAGATTCTTCTCCTTTCCTTTTGCTTTGCCTCTTCATGAGAAGGTGGACACGTTTAGGGTCTAGTATGAAACTCCAGAGGAGAGAATTAAGACCAATAGGTTGAAAGCGTACAGAGTCAGATTTGACTCAATAATAAGGTGAATGTCCTTTCATTTGTTTTTAATGCTTATTTATTTTTGAGAGAGAGAAACAGAGCATGAGCGGGGGAGGGGCAGAGAGAGAGGGAGACAGAATCTGAAGCAGGATCCAGACTCCGAGGTGTCAGCACAGAGCCCAATGCAGAGCTTGAAATCATGGACCGTGAGATCATGACCTGAGCTGAAGTCGGACCCTTAACCGACTGAGCTACCCAGGTGCCCCTCCTTTCATTTTTTAAGAAAACAATTTGAAAGCCATGCATATTTATTATCTAAATTAGAAAATACAGATACAAAACATAAGAAAATAGTAATAACCTTCTAGCCTGATTTTACTCCCCCAGAGAATCTCTATCTAACACTTTGGCTTATCTCCTTCTAGTCTTTTCCCATCAAAGAACTAGCCAATTAAGACTTTTAGAACCTATATAAAGAGGTTTAGAAACACTGATAAGCTTATGCTGCAAACCCTCCTCTAAATCATAGAACTCAAAATTTACATGCATTTAACAGCCAAAATAAGGAGCTTGGGTGATTCAGGCGGTTAAGCATCCAACCCTTGATCTCGGATCAGATCATGATCTCGGATCAGATCATGATCTCACGGTTCGTGGCTTCAAACTTCTGCATTGGGCTCTGCACTGACAGTGTGAAACCTGCTTGGGATTCTCTCTCTCTCTCTCCCGCTCTCTCTCTGCCCCTTCCCTGCTCACACTCTCTGTCTCTCAAAATAAATAAACTTAAAAAAAACCCAAGCATTAAAAAAAACAAAAAAGCTTATTTTTTAAAGATTTTCTCTTTGTAAAATTTTGGATATTTGCTAATTTTCTTATGCTTTTCATGCCCCAGGTGAGCTGCTGCTCTCAGCAGTTAAGTGCTCAGTCTGCCCATTAGGGACCAAGGTCTGAGGGCAGGGTCACATAGCTGTGCACAGAGTGAGGGCACTGTCCAGGGGATTCCTACCATGGGACTGACCTCTAAGCAGGTGTACTAGTTTGCTGGGGCTGCTGTCACAAAGTACCACAACCTGGGGGGCTTAAACAACAGAAATGTATTGTCTCATAGTACTTGAGGAGAAATCTGAAATCGAGGCGTTGGCAGGGTTGATTCCTACTAAGAGGTATGAGGGAGGGAGAATCTGGTCCAGGCCTCCTCTTTGACTTGGGGATGGCGGTTTTCATCCCACATGGAGTCCCCCTGTATGTGTACCTGTGTCCAAATCTCCCCCGGCCTTTTTTTTTTTTTTTTTAAAGTAAGCTTTATACCCAGAGTGGGATTTGAACTCAAGACCCTGACATCAAAAGCTGAATGCTCTATGGACTGAGCCAGCCAGGAGCTCCCAAATCTCCCTAAGGACATCAGCCATATTGAATTAGTTGTTCATCCTACTCAGTATGACCTCATGTGAACTTAAACAATTATATCTGCAATTACCCTATTTCCAAATGAAGTCACATTCTTTATTTATTTAAAAAAAATTTTAATGTTTATTTATTTTTGAGAGAGAGACAGTGAGAGCCAGGGAGGGGCACAGAGAGAGAGAGAGAGAGAGGGAGACACAGAATCCAAAACAGGCTCCAGGCTCCGAGATGTCAGCACACAGCCTGATGCAGGGCTTGAACTCACGAACCGTGAGATCATGACCTGAGCTGAAGTCGGACACTCAAGTGACTGAGCCACCCAGGTGCCCCAACAAAGTCACCTTCTAATGTACCGGGGGTCAGAACTTTAACATACGAATTTTGGGGGGACACAAGTCAACCCATACATAATAGCTCCCTTCCAGCTCTGAGGACTACAATTCTGAGCTTTGAAGTATGACTCAGACTCAGTATATTGCCTTGTTTTGTTTTAGCTTTTTGCTATTGTTTGTTCACTTGTTAAGTGGGGTGTTTGCTTACTGCTTGGTAAAACTGAATCCACAAAGCATAGCTGACCACCCTGCTGAGGCTGAGTGAGAGGTCATGCCAGCCTGTAAATCAGGCTGGCATCCATAGCCATTCTGAACTCTAAATAAATTATTTCTGTTGGTCTTAGGGTCTATATGCCTTTTGACAAGCCTGTAAATCAGTGAGTTTGCTTTCTTCTTGATTCCATGTGTCATCTGGTATGATTCATAGAAAAAATGTCATTTTATTGTAGAACTTAGAGTTTCAGAAGTGTGCGGCGTTCAATCTGGCATATGTGGAGACTTTATCAAGCTATAATGAAATGGTCATCGATAATATGACTATGAAATTCGTTATTATTGTGTATGGCAGTGTGATTGATACTAAGACAGAGGTACAATATCTTGCACCTTGCATTTTGCCTAAAACCTGTGAGCAGGTAAGGACCGTTATTTCTAAAGAGTCATTTGCTTTCCATGGTGCCCCATAAGTGACTTTAAAACTCAACTGACCACCCTAAAAAGAAATTTAACCTGTAGTTCTTACTGTCCTTAACAAAACAGTCAGAGCATGCTTAGGGCTTCCCATGTACAGTTGTGAGGGTTGGGCCCTACACAAGAGTGTGCCCGAGGGGGAACTGAGAGCTGGAATCTGCCTGCTCTCTGCTTGCCAAGCCATTTGCCCTGGAGTAGGGTTGTACCTCCCAAAGGACAGGAGACATTTTTCCTTAGTTCACACCGAGGAAACGACACCATATGCTAGTGTGGCTCTGAAGGGGTCTGCACTGGTTAGTAAGAAGAAAGTTGAGTAGGGGCCACATCACTTTGTTGCCACGTGAGGGGCTGTGAGCATACCTTGACAGTGGGCCCTGGATAGCACCATTCCATGGATCTGTGAGGGAGAAGAGTGTGAACACCAAAGGTGTGATAGGATGGGGTGGCAGGAAGGTGGAGCACAGGAGTGGGGAGGAGGAAGAGGGAGTGAGAAGAGCTGACCTGTCCTTAATCGGGTAGGACATTTCTCCTCTTGAGGAGAGACCCTTTCTGCCGGTTCATTTATTAAATGAGAGGTTGTTAACTAAATGAAAAATGTATGTCTCGGAAAAGTCGGTAAACCTCCTAAAAAGTGCATTCGTCCCTTTCACAACATTATTATTTTGTACCTCTCAGCAATTCCGAGGATGACGGTAATTTAACTGCTTTTCTAATAGAAAATGAAAATCGCTTTAGCTTTGAAGTGGGGAGTGGGAGTGAGGCAGGGAACAGCAGGAGCTGTTTGGGATCAGGCATACTTGGGTGTAAAGCCTGGCCCTTGTGCCCACCAGTGTGTGAGCCATAGGTGACCTGCCTTCTGACCCTCAGTTTCCTATTCGTGAAGTTAGGATAACAGCTGTGGCCATCTCCTGAGGTTCTTGTGAGGATCGAGGGAGAGGGGACCTGGTATCTAGAAACGATAGTTATAATTGTTACTTGCACCCTACTTGCCTTCTGGGAGAGCAAATTTTGGAGGACACACAGGGCAAAAGTTCTGAGAAAAGAAGACAGTCCTGCTGTCTGGGACGGCAGGGCCCTGAGCCCTTGGACATCCATGTAGGGATAAAAGCAATTGAGTGTATGTTGGGGGTTTCCCTGTTTTCCCAAACAGAATTTCCAGTCTGGTTACAAGTAAGGTGTGGAAAGTTCCTTCCTGATAATTGTAAATGTGCAAAAGGTAATTTTCTGGGCCAAGACTTCATGAAACCATGTTAGAGGGGATTTGAAATGAAAAAGATAGAGAGCTTAGGGTTGAAGCCCAGTTCTGAGTTTTGGCTTATTTCTTATATTCTTTGAAAAGGTTAGGAAGCAGCCAGCTTAGAGATCAAAGTCTGCTCTTTTGACTAACTTCTTTTCTTCTTTAGATTCAGGGAACTTCAGATTTAAGCAAGCTGCTGGTTATCCAAGCATCCAAGCCTGCCAAAAATACCAATGACTCCAAAGTCATGGGTAAGGAGTAGCCCTTTCCGTGATAGGAAAACCATGAAACATTCATCTAATTCTAAGAAAATGATCTGAGGGTATTGCGTGGGTTTATCACCAGTCTCCATCCTTGGGCCCACCCTGGCCTCCATGTTACTTCTGGGAGGCCACCTGAGTCCTCCAGACGCTGAGGTAGCCTTTCTCTCTCCCGTCCCTTCCTTCACAGCTGGTGTAGAGCAGCTTCTGTGTGGTACTCTGTTCCCATCCTGGCGGGCTGGAGACCCACCGTGCTGCTGGGGGTAAAGCAGGAATGGGGCGGGCATAGACTTTCTCACAGTGCGTCCAGGGGTGGAGAGCTGGTGTGTTCCCAACAATCAAGGGGAATATGGAACCTGAACCAGGCTCTTTGACTACTCCAAACCAGTCGCAGCCACAACTCAGTTCTCTTGCTTGAGGTGCGCTTCCATAGTTACAACCTAATTACAATTGCTAAACGTGTATTAGTGCCCCGCTGCATGTATCACGGTGCTAAGCAATATTACTGAGCAGATGAGGTAGCAAGGCCTTGCTCTAGAGAAAATGCGCTGAAATCTTTCACGTAGTGCTCGGCACCCCTGCCTTGCCAAGCCCAGTGTTTTCATTTCCCCAACTGCCCGAGCTCGGAACCAGGCAGCCTTAATATGCGTCTCTAATTGGCACCTTCCTGGTGTTTCTGACCCGCATGATCTGCTAGCTTAGAGGTTATGCAGTTCTTCACGAATTGTTACTTCGGGGGGAGGGGCTTACATGATTTCAAACTGCGTGCAGAAAGTGCATTTTATTAATATTTTATACCTCATTTCTCATTTGCACGATTCTTGTAAGACGCAGCCCCATCGTGTGCTGGGCACTGTGCCAAGCGTTAGGCGGTGAGCAAGCCAAACCAGGTGTCTGCCCTTGTGAGGAGGAGAGACAGACATTCAATAAGTGATTCCACTTCTGCCCTAGCAGCAAATTCAACCTCAGGCATTCTTGTAGCTTACTTCTAGGCCCTGTTCTGGGGTCACGTGCAGCACTTGATTTGGGGGAGTTCTCTGTGTTCCCAGCTCTCCTGTCCAAGCTGGCTTAACACTGAGATAGTCGTTACCCCTAGCCCTCACAGTGTCTTCAGTTTGCCTTTCACAGCACTCTTGGGGCACTGGGGTCTAGGGTTTGGAGCTCAGGGCCTAGCGTCAGCCCCCTTGGGGCACCCCGAGGGCTTTTGAGTCAGAGATCTTAGCACTGCCAGAAGCAGGGTACATGTCCTCCTCTGTTCCTGGGCCTGTAGGCCTCTCTCTTTCTTCGGGCTCTCTGCAATCACTTTTAGACCGAGGGTAATATATCATGCTGTATTTCCCGATGAATTTGGAACAAGAATCATAAATGGTAGGTCAGTGCACTGGATTGGGCCCACATATATGTTTTCTTTTAAAAGTTTAAAATAAGTTGCAGGGGTGCCTGGGTAGCTACGTCGGTTGGGCGTCTGACTTCAGCTCGGGTCATGATCTCGTGGTCCATGAGTTTGAGCCCCTCGTCGGGCTCTGTGCTGACAGCTTGGAGCCTGGAGCCTGCTTCTGGTTCTGTGTCTCCCACTCTCTCTGCCCCTGCCCCCCTCACACTCTGTCTCTCTCACTCTCAAAAATGAATGTTAAAAAAAATTTTAAAAATTTAGGATAAGTTGCAAAAGATGAACATCGACAAATTTCACATAAAAAAAATCCAGATTTTGAGCTTTTCTTGAAAAACTCAGAAAGTCTGCTAACACTTGGGTCTCGTTCCTGTATGTAGCAACATTCAGAGCTGGTTGTGGGGGAAGCAGATAATGTGCAGTTTGCCACAGTCCACATCTCACCCTCTTGTTTTAGGTGTGGCCTGCCTCTTTTATGTGACCTCCCTGTTCTCATTTGAGTTTGTCGGCCCTTCCATTAGGTTCTGGGGACCCTAAGAGCAAACACCCTTGAGGGAAGAAAGGGAAGAAAGTAAAGAGCTCATATGAAAGGGGGGGAAGGGAGACCTACTGAGAGAAAGCAAATTGACATTTCAGAATATTCTTCTGCTACCTTTACTCTTAAATTCCTAATTTAGTTTTTCTGTCTGATGCATGTATTTGGATTGGTTCAGTCAACACTGGTCTTCGAACGACCCACAGAGAATATAATTGGAAGAGAAAAAAGGAGGTAAGAAACTTGACACATGGATTAGATTTTGTCTTACTGTGAATATTAAGCCACATAGCTGGAATCAATTGTGAAGCCAAGTAGCAAAATGTAGGTGGTAAGAAAAGAGATTCATAGTGGCAGCTCATTAATTTAGAAAAATTGGGATAAAACTCACCTGGATTATTAAAAATATTTTTTGAATGTTTATTCATTTTTAAAATTTTTTAAAATTTTTATATTTATTTATTTTTGAGAGAGAGGGAGAGACAGAACGTGAGCAGGGGAGGGGCAGAGAGAGAGGGAGACACAGAATCCGAAGCAGTATCCAGGCTCTGAGCTGTCAGCCCAGAGCCGGATGTGGGGCTCAAACCCAGGAACCGCGAGATCACAACCTGAGCCAAAGTCGGACACTCAGCCGACTGAGCCACCCAGGCGCCCCTGAATGTTTATTCATTTTTGAGAGAGAGAGAGAGAGAGAGAGAGAGCGCGTGCAAGCGGGGGAGGGACAGACAGTGAGGGAGACACAGAAACCGAAGCAGGCTCCAGGCTCCGAGCTGTCAGCACAGGGTTCGAACACACAAACTGTGAGACCATGACCTGAGCCAAAGACGGGCACTTCACCGACTGAGCCACCCAGGCGTCCCTCACCTGAATTATTTAAAGATGAAAATGATAGAATGTTTCTGGAAGATGTGATTTCCCCCAGGCTGCCCCCACGCTCTGGCTCAGTTTCCCCCTGTGCACCTCCTTCCCAGTAGCTCAGTAGTAGGGATCTATGGGTTAGGGATGGGGAGGGTCATGCCATGCGCACAAACTAGATGTTAGCATCCACAGGCCTGTGCCTCTCCGTGTGGAGTGTGTATTCCCTGAGGATGTGGGTGCTGTGCCCGGGGGATGTGCAGCCACAGGCTCATCCAGGGCATCTTCCTAGAGTATGAGTTTTACTTGGTGCTCTTTTAAACAGAGGAAACTCATTTAACCATTAGATTCTTTAAAATGTTTTATATTAAAACACACATGGGGGCGCCTGGGTGGCGCAGTCGGTTGAGCGTCCGACTTCAGCCAGGTCACGATCTCGGTCACGATCTCGCGGTCCGTGAGTTCGAGCCCCGCGTCAGGCTCTGGGCTGATGGCTCAGAGCCTGGAGCCTGTTTCCGATTCTGTGTCTCCCTCTCTCTCTGCCCCTCCCCCGTTCATGCTCTGTCTCTCTCTGTCCCAAAAATAAATAAATGTTGAAAAAAAAAAAAATTAAAAAATAAATAAATAAATAAAAAAATAAAACACACATGGAGTAGGATGACAAATTTGCATGAATTTTTAAGATAAAATAGAAGACTTCAGGCCATTTTATTATGGAGAGTCACTTAGGTTTTGCCCTGACATCTTTTCCTACTCTCCTCAGCACTCAGGGCTAATTTGGAAAATTTTGAGAAGTCCATGTCTGGAATAGGAGGGGGTAAGGCTGGTCACATCAGGCCAGGACAGAGTGGAGGGAAGTCTGGGGAGTGGGGGACCTGTCTGTAGTCCTAACTGTAGGCCTAGTTACTCAAGGAGTCTCTGTCAGGGCCCCTAACAGAGGTCGTTTGGGCCCAAGCCCCCTGCACAGTAGAGGAGAATGTTGTTCTGACAGGGCGACGGGGCACTAGGTGAATGCAGAGGTGGGCCAGGGAGCAGTGAATGGGGCCAAGGATGGGCTTCAGCGGCCTCCAGCACCCTCTGTCTCCCAGCTGCGAAGTCACTCCACGTAAAAACGTTTTCCGAGGGAAAATGGTATGCTGTGTAAGCGCGGCTTCAAGAGAAGACCCTTGGGCCACCACATCTCCAACCAAGGAGTCCTCCTAAGACCCTTTTAACAGAAATTCGGGGCCCGCACTGTCATTTATGACCGTCAGAGTGGTGTGCAGAGTGTTTGTTGGGGGAAGGAGAGTTGCATTGACCGAATGTGTGATTAATGGTTCCTTTAAAGAGAGCAACTTAGTTCTTTTTAGGCAGCCTTCCTAAACGGGAAAGGACCCTCTTTCACAAATGGGAAAGGACCCTGTTTCACAAATGGGAAACCTAATGGGGGGTCAAGTAATTGGCTTCATTGACTCCTCATTTTCACTGTTCTTTTCCAGGCCTCATTATTTTAAAAAGTTTCTCCTTGTGATTTAGGGACAAAGTTTCTGGTTACCTGGGAATCAGTCACAGAGTTACCCGGAATTCAACTCTCCTGACATTTCTCTTTTCCTGAAGTGCACCTTTGTTTGACTACTCTTAGTGAATTAATGTAGTATCTCTTTCCAAGATGATGCTTGATAGCACAGAGATGCATATGTATTTACTCGTAACTGATCTCTCAAAGCCCTTAATATGTAAGATCTTTTAGAGGAAACGTTCCAGATAATAAAATGTGAATTTTCAGTTAAGTTTTCTGATTGCATTTTGATAGTTCATGTTTTTTCCTGAAACGCTCATAGTCTAATATTTTGCTTTTGACTTTCCTTTATAGTTGGAAACTGGACCCTATTTTAAAAAGGAATACTAATGGTGCTAAGGTGATATGTGGAGTCAGGTAAAAAAGACTGAGCTAATATCCTGGCTCACGTGCTGAAGGATTACCTGGCAAGGAGGTTACTCAGAAGTTGCTGAAATGGCTAATAAATACTGCTGTATTTATTTCACAAGCAATTGAGCTGCTGGAAAAGCTCTAACTTTAAGCAGTTGCATTATACTTGAGATGTTCAAAATTCTTCAGGATGATAATATAATTCATGGCCTACCAAATGAAACCAAATAGAGCAATTTATGAGAATTCAAGTAATCAGAAGCATTGTACACTTAATATATTACTGACTGAAGCATACAACTTATATAATTTGATTTGTTGTTAATGACCCCCTAACATTTTCCATTGAAAAGTTATTCCCTCCCTCCCCAATTTAGTACATGTTGAAAAATGGAACTATGTTCTCTAACCTTAGTTGCTGAAAGCAAAGTTTAGGAGAGGTTAATAGTCTTGCATTGCATAATACTGTTTGATATCACTTTTCAGTTTCTTTTTAAAAGTCAAATAAAGTTGAATGTTATGGTCTGATTGTTTATTATTTAGAATCCATTATGCCTTTTCATTTCAACAAGATTTCGAAAGGATATTTGATGCTCTACTCTAGGGAAAACCCTAAGAGAGGTAAGAATAAGAAGAAAACGTAAGACAAAAAGTCAGGCCTATTTATTAGAACCTTTTGGACACCTGCCATAACAGGACAGTATTTCAGCGTGGACTGTGGATCCCCTGAGTGTCAGCAAATACTGGATGTGGCTGCACACGTAGGAACCCGGCCACCGTGACTGAACCACAGAGGCTTCATTTTTTCTCTTTTTGATTATAGTTGATGCACTATGGTTACATTAGTTTCAGGTGCACAACATGGACAAGTGTAGACGTCACGCCGTGCACACCACAAGCATAGCTACCATCTGTCACCACACGATGCTACTCTAACGCCATGGACGATATTCCCTGTACTATACCTTCCATCCCTGTGACTTAGTCTAATTAAAGGCTTCATTTTTCTTATAGTAACAAAACATCTAGAAACAGGCAGAAAGGGATGGGTGCAGCTGGTTGAGGAAGTAAGTTATCACGGACTAGGCTGCAGCCTCCTCATCCTCGGCCTGTGCCTTATCCCCAGGGTGGCAAAGTGACATCTGTACCTCCAGGCATCCTATTTGCTTTCCAGGAGGGCAAGGAGCTTTCTCTTTACGAGGTTTTGCCTTTGAGTCAGGAATGGACCTCATCCCAGGCCAGCACGGTCATGTGCCTAAACCTCTCACCTTAAGATGATTTTTTGGCTGGCATCTCACTCTGCCACCCTTAATAATGATCTGGGCGGTTTTAGTGAAAAGTATGGGGTAAGTGGATACTGGGTTAAGGGCAGTACCTGCTGTGCTCTGCACCAGTCACATGGCTTGTTACAAATGAACACCAGCTGGCCACCTGCAGAGTCAGTCCCTGGGGGTAGGCCCCTGGGCTCTGCATTTTCACACTCCTGTGGGATTTAGTGCATTTGAAACTTGAGATACTTTAGTCTGCTCTACAGTCTTGCTTAGAGGCTCATTAGCATATCTGATGGAACTAGGAGATACTTCCTCCCACATACATCAGTTAGGATGCGTTTGGCCTAAACCCAACTCCAAAAGGCTTATGTCCTAAGGACATGTATTATTTTATGTAGTGTCAGTCAAGAGGTAAGATGGGTTCATGGTTGATGGACTCAGCGAAGATGATCAGATTTTTTCTCTCCACTTTGCTGTTGACCAGCCTCATTCTGTGGTTCCCCGTGCACAGGTAGTCAGATGGCTGCTAGCAACAATCATGTTTTGTGTGAGACAAAAAGGAAGAAAAAAGGTCTCCAATGCTGTCAGGATAGAATTCTTCTAGAAACTCCAATGATCCTGTTTGTGGCTCATTCTCAAGAATTGAATCACGTGCCCATTTCTGAACCAGTTACTGCCAAGAAAAGTGGTAACGACCTTTTGGCCAGTTAATACACCCTTTAAGCTAAAATTAAAGTTGTCAGGGGTGCCCGGATGGCTCGGTTAAGCGTTCAACTTCAGCTCAGGTCATGATCTCAGTTTGTGGGTTCGAGCCCCGCATTGGGCTCTGTGCTGACAGCTCAGAGCCTGGAGCCTGTTTCGGATTCTGTGTCTCCCTCTCTCTCTGCTCCTCCCCCATTCATGCTCTGTCTCTCTCTGTGTCTCTCAAAAAGAAAAAAAAAAAAAAATTAAAGTTGTATTTCCTCAATTCGCATTGCCCCAAAGGGGTGGAGCCAAATGGGAGTAAACTACTACACAGCCACTCTGGCTCCCTGCCCCTTTGCTGAGTATCTCAGCGCAGATCCCTACACTTAGGGTGGAGGTTAGAGGCGAGATCAGACTTGTGGCAAGACCACACAGGGGGCCACAGATTTACCACTGTGAGAATCTTAGAAGACTGAGAAGGCAGTCCCATGGACTTCTCATGCTTCTCTCATAATCACAATTGTCATATGTGAATTCACTTTCAATTAATAAATCTT